GAGGGGTGGTTCCGGCCTGTATGATACCGGCGGTTCCCGCCATGCCATCCGGGCCATGCGCTGGGTTTCCCGTCTCTTTGGTCTCCAGGGTACTGTGAAGAAGCTCCTCCAGGCAAAAACTCTGAATGAACAGCGAGAAATCTGGCGCCAGAAAATTCGCCCAGCGTTGCTATCCAAGCTCGTGTGCAACCTCGTCGTTGCCCAGGAAAGCTTCCTCTGGACCGCCCTTGGCGTACCCAAGAATCAACTTGCCATGATTGAGAAGGACCATGCCGAGTCTGACCTTGTCAAAGGTGAAAAGCCTGTCGCGAAGAACACTCGATCCCACGCTATCTGGCATTATATGGTGAACACTCTAGACCCTGTTGCAGAGGAGACACACCTCGCCAAGGACAACCCATACTACTACGTCTGTCTCGCTGGCCAGTTCTCTCGTGACTGTCACCCGCATTATCTCTCTCCTGAAGTTCACGCCAAGCTCTCCAAGCCCGGTGCGCTGGACAGTCTTCGCATCCATACCGATGAACTTGAGGAAGTCATTGCGCGTATTAGTCCTGGAACCCTAACTGTCGCCGTTGTCATGGACAGCATGGACTGGTTCGACCCTGGCTCTCCCGCTGCCGCTGCTCAAATCACCAAGCTGAACCGCGCTCTCAAGATGGGTGGCCGTGTTATGCTGCGTACTTCTGCCTTGACGCCTTGGTACGTCGAGGTCTTTGAGGCCCATGGCTTCACGGCTAAGCGCCATGGTGGCAGAATTGGCGGCGCGTGTATTGACCGTGTCAATATGTATGCCAGCTGCTGGATCTGCACCAAGGTTGAGAACCTGCCTCCCCCAACTCCCGAAATGGACCGCATTGGCAGCCAGGAGATGCCTAGCTTGACTATTTGATTGCAGATACAAACACTTGCGACTCCAACTTTTCGAGAGATACAGGTATCGTCCAACACTGAACCCTAAAAAACAGAAAGCTCAGCTGTTCATGAGGCAAAACGACGACGAAACTGGATAATACGAAGAGAGAAGATGTAGCTTATCATGGCGCCAAATAAACCGAGAGGCCAGTGAAAAAAACCAGATCGAAGTAGAGGTTGTGATTAGCCTTACTTGAAGATAAATAATATCACTTTTAAATGGCCCTATATGCTATCGTCGACAGGATTGTACGTTGTGATTGAACTTTGTATCGTCCTTCTTATCTCACTGTCAGCGCATCACAAGCTCATATCTGGCCACTCGAAAGCTTTTTGAGCGGTGATTTTCTTCCTCCTGTTACAGCGTCACTCTACGAGAAGCCAGTAGACCAGTGCAATGCCCGACAATTAGCAAACATGAGACGGCGCAATCCAGGTAATCGACAAAGGGAATAAATTCCGTTTCCTGTTTAACACACAACATCTATACACGTGCGGAGAGACTCCCAAATCCGTCCCAAGCGCACATTCCAAAATCAACGGGCCTCCCTTCTTCCGTCTTTGCAATACCTTGCCCCCGCCCCCCGTTTTTCCCGTCAAGTGACTCTTTCCATCTATGCCTTCCACACCCGCTTGATGGCCTCGGTGACACCGACATCATTCGTCTCGAACTCGTACAGACCGACACCTACGACGACAGTGGCGGCATTCAGTCCCCACCAAAACAACTTGCGCAGACCGGGGTATCGCCTCTTGGGGATGTAGTCGATGATGACGGACTGGAAGCCAATGTGGGAGTGGATGAGGACGGCGGAGCAGAGGACGGCGTCCATGGTGGGGTTGAGCGAGCCCGAGGCAAAGGGGGCAATGGTCAGAGGCACGAGGCCCGCGGCCAGGAGGCGCTCAAACGTCCAGTGGTAGGAGCCGTGGGCGGCGGAGGGCGGAGGAATGGGAGCAGGGTCGTTGACTGGCACCGTGTTAGCGGATTAACTCGAGACGTGGTGTTGACGTGACGTTGGGCATTCGGGGAGTCTGGAAAACGAGTATTCGTTCGTACCTCCGCCCTCAATTCGCTCTATACGACAAGGTCAGTAATGAATCAATCACGGGACACTCAGCAAGGGACAGCAATTAATTAAACGCACGGGGTCCAGGCGGCAGGATGGCAGCCTTCTTGCTCGAGCTGTGAAACGCAGCCGGTCGCATGGCCATGGCGCTTCTCGAGCGAGCGGCCAGCGCGGACTGCCGCAGCAGCGAGGGACGCATAATCGATGCCATTGTCGTTGTATTCGAACCGAGCCAGACCGCGGGTGTTGACGGCAGATTTTCGCGCAATGGGTGCGGTTCACAGGACGCGGGTGGTAGTTAATCGACAGGAAGTAAGAAGCCCGTTCGGCTTGTGCTTGGTCCTGGGCATTGAGGATTGGATTGCCGAGGGACTCGAAATACCTGCTTGCTGATTGGCTGGTTGCGTTCCGGCTGGCATTCATACAGCCGAATTGTCGGAGGCGCAATAACGTGTTTCCGCTGGACGGCGCTGATTGGGTCCGCAGGTGGGCGGCATGTGAATTTTCAAGTGAGAGCTGTTGGCGGACTCGTCTAAAAAGGACAAGAGCTGGGGGTCTTTTTTATATTGGCATTGTAGTTTGCGGCGGCACGTTGATTCATTATTTTTTTTGACGCGTGGAAGGGACCTGTTTGGCGCTGCCGCTCGTTTCCTGGAATACTGGCTGGCACTTTTGGATTTCGCAATGGCGCCGCGACTTCAAGTTTCGAGGTGCCTGGCTAGGCGGCGTGGTGCGTCACGAGGCGCAGTGCCGTTATCGTGGTCTGCACGCGAGCTGCAGCAGTCGAGGGGAGTTGCGACTTCGTATTTGAAGAAGGTTGCCGAGGGCGAGGAGCGGTGGGAGAAGAGAGCGCAGCAGATTCAAAACGGGGAGCTGCCTCATGTTTGGGATGTTCTTGATGAAAGAGGATACATCAAGGACGTTGCTGGGTATGAGACTGCTATTCCCCCCCAACGAGTGGTCGAAACGACCTTCATTCTTCTTTACTAACGGTGAATTCGACAGCACCCCGGCCAAGATCAAAGAAGTCATGCGCATCAAGAGAATAGGCGCCTACGTCGGCGTCGACCCGACCGCCGACTCGCTGCATATCGGGCACCTCCTCCCCTTCATGCCTCTCTTCTGGCTCTGGTTCAACGGATACCCGGCCGTAACGCTCCTCGGCGGCGCCACCGCTCGAATTGGCGATCCTACCGGGCGGTTACAAAGCCGCGAGCACATGCCCAACTCGGAGATTTCAAAAAACGTCACCAAAATACACTACCAGCTCACCAGGCTGTGGAGAAACGTCGTGGTATTACGAGAAAAGTACGGCTACGAAAAGGACTGGGCTGCCAAGCGCCACCTGCTGAACAACAACATGTGGCTCCAGGGCCTGTCTGTATACGACTTCACGAAGCGACTTGCGCGAAACACTCGAATCGGACCCATGCTCTCCCGCGACACGGTGAAGCGCAAGATGACCGAGGGCGATGGCATGTCCCTCGGGGAGTTCATGTATCCGCTCTTCCAGGGCTGGGACTTTTGGCACATGTACAACAAGCTGGGTGTTCAGATGCAGATTGGCGGCTCGGACCAGTATGGAAATATCGTGGCGGGCATCGATGCGCTCAAGGTCATTCGCGACAGTGAGGAGGCGTCGCACGCCAAGATGCCCACGGAGTGGCAGCACGAACCCATGGGCTTCACGGTGCCTCTTCTCCTCGACTCGGCGGGAGTCAAGTTTGGCAAGAGCGCAGGCAACGCCGTCTGGCTGGACGAGTTCAAGACGTCGCCCTTTGAGCTCTACGGATACTTTATGCGCCGGGCGGACGACGAGGTGGAGAAGCTGTTGAAGCTGTTTACGTTTATGCCCATGGCGCAGATCCACGAGACCATGACGCAGCACCGCGCTGACCCCTCCAAGAGAGTCGCCCAGCACACTCTTGCCTTTGAGGTCCTGTCCCTGGTCTACGGCTCGCAGAGGGCCCTCCAGGAAGCGCAGCAGCACAAGTTCCGGTTCGGCGGAGAGCTGCCGCATGTCACCAACGAGCCCTCCAAGGACAGCGGAATCGTCACGCCCAACAATGCGCCCCGAAGCGACATTCAGCTGCCCCGATCCGTCATGAAGCTCTCCCCGGCGAAGCTTCTCTTCGCAACTGGCCTGGCTAGTAGCAACAGCGACGGTCAGCGCCTCGTCGCCCAGCAAGGCGCTTACGTGGCTGCCCAGCCGGGCCAGACCCGAGGCCTCGTGCCGGGGAACTTGTCTTGGACCCCGATGAAGATGTGGTTCCCGGAAGAAACGGCCAAGTACCTCATCGACGAGAAGATTCTGATCCTCCGCAAAGGGAAGCACAATGTGCGCATCGTCGAACTGGTTTCTGACGAAGAATGGGAGGCCAGCGGGAAGATATACCCCGGACAGCCGTACACGGGCATGGTGCGCCGCATGACGGAGCAGTTGGAGAAGGAGGCTGAGGCAGCTGGCAAGAAGCTGAAGCCGAATGAGTTGAAGAAGTTACTCCAGCAGAAGACGCGCGAGCAGCAGGCGCTCAAGGTAGCCAACAATCCCGATATTGAGCTGCCGAGCAAGCAGGAAATACGGCAGAGGAAGCAGACCAATGGACGGGGGAGCCAGAACAAGTCCAAGTGGTAGAAATGCACCGATGCAAAGCGGGCACGCATGTGTGCAACGTGGAATGCGGGAATCCGCCCTGTAAAACCTTTTTTTAAACATTTGTACCACTAGCCTGTAACATGATCTCTTAAACCATAGATCCCCATTACCGAAGAGAAAATGCCATGTTTTACATTTTCATCTGTACAGCACCGTAAGATCGCCCTTTGGAACAGGCAATACCTTCAACTTATCCATAATCTCGTCATTCGTCAAATTCTGCTCAGTGATAATCTGGTCAAAATGATGGCTGCCATCGGTATATTTTTGCAACGAATCTCCTCCCGGCACAGGCCGACTCTCGCCCGACGCCAAGGCGGCGAGATACTGCTTCGAAAGGACATACTTGTGCACGCGGTACAAGCACCCCTTTATAATGCCAAACTGCACGAACCGCCGGACATCAACGTAATTTAATACATCGAAGCCAGCTTCTTGACTAGCCATGATCCACTCCTTGACGCTCTTACTCGGCGCAAAGGAGGACATGAGTTTGATGAGGTGGTAGTTGCTGACCCTCCCGCGTCCGTGGGAGACGTAGTCAGCGCACTCGTCCACAATGCCGTCCACGTTGCAGATGAAGTCGTGGATCCCAGGCCGCGGGGCGTAGCAGGAGCTGAAGAAGAAAATGTCAATGAGGAGAATGGTGTCGTAGTAGAGGAGATGGCGGAGGGCAGATTTGGCGAGGTCCAACGAGACGGAAGCGGCGTGGGCGATGCGACGCACGTCTGAGACGCCGTCGATTTTGGCGACGACTTTTTGCAGAGTGAGGTCCCACGTCGGGTCGACGATTTCCGCAAACTTGACCTTGGCGACGGGGACGTGCCACCCCTTGACGGCGGCTGGCGTGCGGTGGTGAGGGAAGAGCTTCATGTTGATGGTGTTGGCTTCGTCTACACCACTCGAATTTTGGTCAAGAGACATGTCGGACAGGAGAGGGAGCGTGATCACTCACCCACGGGAATCATGCACTCGCCGTAATTGTTCAAGTCCTCCTTGACAATCTCCAGCAGGCTCTCAATGGGCCGCCTTGCCTCGTGGTTCCTCAGCCCGTCGCCCTCACCCAAGCTGAGATACTCATTCTGCTTCTCCATCTCGGAAAAGGTGGCGGCGAGGTACCTCACCACGCCCTCGTAGGGGGCCTGGTCGACATCGGCCTCGATGAGGATGCCAAAGTTGAAGATGAACTCGTTGCGGAGATACTTGGTGTGGGCGATGACGACGGGGTAGCCGAGCACGGTGTACTTGCCGTCGGGAGAGTTGATGGTTACGTAGCGGTTGCAAAAGGCCTGACGGGGGATGATGTACTCTTGGAGGACGTCGAAGTCGATGAGGGGCTGGCGCGTGGTGAGGGTTGTCTCGGAGGGGGTGATGCATCCGGGAGGAGATTGAGCAACGATTTTGGGGCCTACGGGTGGGTGAGTGAGTTGATTCATAGTTGGAGATTTTTCATGTAGGATGCAAGAGAGAGGACGTATACCTTCTTGGGGAAAGAACCTTGCGTAAAAGATGCCTTGGATCATGGTGGTGGAGGAGTCGAATGGGATGAGACTTGAGGTGGGAACGATATTAAACGGAGGAGATGGGTGGAGGTGTGAGAATGAGATGGACTCATGCTGCGGGGAATTACTTGTTTTTTGACACGTTCATGGTTGAGGTGCTTTTAGCTCATCATGCGTGGAAAGCTGAAAGTTGAGCGGCTTATTATTGATGTGGATGGGATATAGATTGTGTGGTGGTGGTTGTTGAGATTAACTTATGGTGTTGCGAGACACTCACTCACTGACGGCGGATGGAGGCAGTCGCACAGTCGCACCTGCCAGGACGTACGTACTTGTGGAGCAATGCCAGCATGGCAGCACAGATGGAGAGGTCAACGGGTGCCTTGGTGGACGCCTGAAGTGCTGCGTGACCAGATTTTGCAAGATAGCACTTGAGGCTTCCAAACGAAGGTTAGCAACCGCTGGCTCCTTTGAACTTGCGTATCGAGTACCTCGTGGCAAGAGTTGGCGCGCGCATATAACGTGTCACTAGGCATTTGTTTGTCTTGGGAAGCTAACATGAAGAGTATGTACGAGCCAAGGTGGCCATCTCTCCAATGCCTTTTGAGTGTGGAATCGGGCTAGTAGTTATATGCTGCAATCACTGCCCGCATGCAGTAGTTTATGCTAAGTAGTATTGGGGAAACGATCATTGGCTCTTGCCTCCCATAACGCAACAAGCCCACGCTGTACAAGCGGTAAAGCCAAGTAAGTCTGCGGAGCATTATCTATCAGTGGTGGTTTGAGCCCCAGGTAGCTCGGATTATCTATCGTGGTTGTCGAGAGTGAAGGCAGGTTGCAGAGGAGCTATAACCTAACTACCTACCTACCTAGGTAGGTAGAAGGTAACAGACACTTACTTGCCTTGTGAGACACGGATGGCCCCCCTCGTCTCACCTTCCAACGTGTTCCGCCCAAAATTCCCGGCTGCATATGATGCGCCGCGCTGGTGTTCCTCACTCCCAGAGACCCTTTGTTCCGTCTGGGCCTTGACCACGCACCGTGATGCTGCGCGACATACAGCATATATTTTTCTTTCTTCCTACATTGTTTTTGACCTTGTGCTTGGCTCAGCGTACTCACGCCCGGCCACACTGCTAGGCCGTTTGTTTGTCTGCCCCCCCCTCCCGTTTGGCCTGGTCTTGTTCGTCGCCTTGGTTGCTTCGCTCTTTCTGCCCAGCCGGCCAGCTTACTACTAACTAACCCCCAGCCTGTTCTGGTGGTCAACCACCGACGCCTCCAGACCCACGTCGCCTTGAGCTGTCGAAGACCGTGGGCCTCCATCGAATATTCACGTCCAAAGCCCTTTGAGCCGTCCTTCAGCGCGTGGTCCACAGCCGAGCGTGCTCAAGTGCTCCTCCGTACCGACTACGGAGTACGGAGTATTACCAAGAGCCAGCCAAGCCTTGGGCCATCGGCCCACACCAGGCAATCGCCAGCGTCAAAGGTGGTGTATCCTCAACCGCGGAGGCTCTGTTTTCTGTTCTTTGTTCTCCTGCACTCCCCAAGCAACACCTCGGTCGGCTGAGGCCATTTTCGTCGCCATACCCCATATCTACTCTCGAAGCCACGGCCCGGACGTCCTCGAGCAATACTCGCCTCCACTTGGCTGGCCTTTCCCAGTTCCAGTCGCATTCGTTCGCCCCTCGGCAAACGACAACGGTTCGCTCCCACCCGCACAGGCGCAAACCAAACACTCGACGCTTCTGACGGCCTCAAGAGACAAACCGTCGCCATGGCCGACAATGCCGAGACAAGTGGCGATAAGCAAGTCACCTTCAAGGTGAAGACATCTGCCGACAGCAATCACACCATCACAATGGCCGAGTCGGCCACCGTCTTGGAGCTCAAGACCAAGCTTGCCGGCCAAGATTTCGAGCACATCCCTGTCGAGAGACAACGCCTCATCTACTCTGGTCGCGTTATGAAGAATGACGAGACCCTTGGATCCTACAACATCAAGCAGAACAACACCATCCACATGGTCAAGAGCGCAGCGAGCAACCCTACCCAGCAGACTTCGACATCCGGCCCAACCCCCCGAGCCGTTCCAGAGAACATTTCGGCTGGAACCAACCCCAACGATCCGCTAGCTGGCCTGACCGGCGCCCGTTATGCCGGCCATCAGATCAACTTACCGGGCATGGATATGTTCGGCCCAGATGGCGGTGTACGCCCTCCTTGTCCAAGAAAGCATTTCTCAGGCACTGACTACATGCTAACCGACATCTCTAGATGGGCCCCCCTATGGACGAGGAGCGCATCCAACGTATGATGTCAGATCCCAACGTTCAGCAGTCTATGAACGAGGCCTTGAACAATCCCGACTTTGTCAACATGCTCATCGAATCGAACCCAATGCTCCGCAACATGCCCAACGCAAGAGAAATCATCACGTCGCCGTTTATGCGACAAATGATGAGCAACCCGCAGATGATGAGCCAAGCCATGCGTATGCAACGAAATATGCGTGGGGGAGACTCGGCTTTTCCTGCCCCTGGCGCCACCGACACCACGCCAGATGCTGCTGCTGGCGGCAACCGATCCGCTGGCCAGGCGAACAACAACCAGCAACCAAATCCTTTCATGAATCCTTTCATGATGCCCGGAATGATGGGCGGTGCTGCTGGAGGCAACAACGCCATGAACCTCGCCCAGATGCTTCAAAGCTTAAACGCCATGAGCCCCAGCCCGGCTGCCCAAGCTCCAACAACCAACACCCCCACCACTGCAAACACCCAAGGGACCACGCCAGCGTCGGAGTCCCGAGAGGGCCAGGGTGCTACTTCAGACACCGGGGCAGCTGGGGCTCCGCAGAATAGCCAGGCCCAAAATGCTGCCAATAATCCCTTGGCTCAGTTGTACGCGCTGGCGTCGGGCAATGCGCCCAACGCCTTCGGGAACCTTGATCTGTTGGAGCAATTGTCGATGAATCTCGGAGGCATAGGCCCAGGTATGCCAGCCGCAGCTCCCGACAATCGACCCCCGGAGGAGCGATATGCCGATCAGCTGCGCCAGCTGAACGAGATGGGCTTCTACGACTTTGACCGAAATGTTGCGGCTCTGCGAAGGAGTGGAGGCAGCGTGCAGGGCGCCATCGAACACTTGCTAAGTGCTACAGATTAAGGAGCATAGCAAAGGTTTCAGAATGCAGGGTTTTATTTTCTAATCACGGAGTGTGGTAAGTGGACAAATGCATGATGACCACGACAATTGTATGCTTGGGAAAGACGAAGCGGTATGAGTATATAAGATGATTATTCCACTTCGAGGTTGAAAATGGTGTGTCCCAGGATTGATAGGAGATACCTCAGCATGACAATACGATGCAATAATTCAGCAAAAATGGATACATGGACCAGATGGGCAAGTGACGACTAGTGATCAGCCAACTGGCGTATACTTTGGTCAGAGATTGTACAGACACTGCTCCGCACTTTTGCGTTGGGATACGGTACGAGTCAGCCGACTCGGACCCCTTGACTCTCTTCCATGCCATGCTCGCGTCCCAAGCAAACAGCCCAAGTTGATACTCGTAGGTAACATAAACCCGGGAGAGATGTCTGGTCGTAGTAACCCGTACGGGTACCGGCCCCAATTTAATGTGTAACTTGATGTCGAAATAGCCTTGTGCTAGTAGCAGAGGCGACAAGTAATGAACCCCTTGTCCGCCCGTACTCCAACCTTTTGAACACGGTGATGATGGCGAGTGACATCATCGGGTTTGGGGGAACTGTCGCCACATATCCGTCACGGAACAGCTTCCAGTTCTATAAATACATGTTGCAAAAAATACATGCGATCAGGTGGAAAGAAACGAAATTTCAAAACAAACATTTCCTTGCAGCCTATTCAACGCATTAAACACCCTAGCTAGCAACGGCAACAAGATCCAAGTGTACCCCTCCTTACCACGGCCTTGCAGCCAGGCCAAAACCCCCTTTTCTCAAAGACAACCCGCACCTCATGCCAGCAAACGCACATGCAACCGCGTTGCTGCGGCTGACCCTCCACCGCTGCGTGCACACGACCGGCCGGCGAGCGCGAGACCAGGCGGCAAGGGCGACTGGCGGCGGCGTCGGGGCCAAGGGCCGCACCGGAGGCGGGCAGGCCCTCGGGTCGACGGCCGAGGGGGCGCCGCAG